GNGGGGGGGGCCATCACGTGATGAAAACCGTGAAGGGAGTCCCGCTGCCGATAAAAAGCTGTCACCTGGGAGAAGGGCCGAGCGGGTCTTCCCCCCCACATCCACCCCCCACACACACATCCACCCCCCCCCCACACACACACACACGGGGGGCTATCCTGGGGAGTACTCTTCCGCCGCCGCCCCCACCACCGGGGGCCCAACCGTCCTCCAGGGGGGGAGCGGGGGATGGAAAAGAAAGGCGCCAAGACGGCAGTGTTACGATATTGAGATGTTACAGTAACCCATCCTCGCCCTTCCTCACCTCTTTCCCCCGCCCATTAGGGGGCCTCTCCCGCCCCGCCCCCTCCCGTCCCCTCCCCGCCCCCTGCCCCCTCCGACCATAGCCTACCTAACCACCAACCACCAACCATCTGACAGCCCCGCCAGTCCTGTCTGTACTTCATTGCCGTACATCGGCGGCCGCACCTTTCCAAGAGTCGCAACCCACATGTTGTGGGATGGTGCATGTCCTATTATGCTGCCCTGCAGGCGGCCTTGCAGTCCCAGTACAGCTCGTACGGCACGTACGGCCACGTGAGCCACGCATCCTCTAAGGATCGTCGTGAGCAAGTGCACCAGCGTTACCAGCAGCAGCAGCTGACAGTCAGCGGCGGCAGTAGTGCCGGTAGTGGCGGCAGTAGCAGTGTCAATATCTACCCCGAGCCGGCGGATTCTAGCGGGGCAGCGGCCGCGGCTGTAGCATGAATTGTACGGCGGTTGGGAACAGCTTTAAAGGGTTGCGGTTTTTAGGATTTTAGAGCTTTATTCGTTTCAGAGGCAGAAGAAGAAAATGATGAAGAAGAAGGAGAAGGAGAACAGCCAGCAACATTTCAGAACATCATATGTGCATGTGTCTGTCTGTATGTGTGTGTGTGTGCTTACATGTGAATGTACGGGCGCGTACGTGTTGTGATGGTTCTAAAGAAGATGGGTAGCAGGCTGTAGCACATGCATGTGTACGGCATTACTCTTTAGGGTTCTTAGTTGCATTATGCGCAAATTTTCATCACATATACTAACGTACGGACGTACGTACAGGCAGATAGATAGACAGATTCAGTCCTCGCCGCTGTACAACACATCATCCCGTACAGTCCATGTACATGACCGGCTGCAAATAACGGTTAATACGTAACGCCTCTTTCTTTTCACGGCGCGTACGGCTGAAGGCTCGACATACATACATGTCGGCATTTAGGTAGGCGGTCCAATATGGTGTGATGAGGTGGATGCAATAATGCCCTCAGTTTTAGGTTGCAAGATACAAGTTCCGTACAAATGCAGGGGGCCCGTCCGTACAAGCCCGGTGGAGGAACCATGGACGGTCAATTGCCATTTCTATTGCGGCGCAGAGTGCGGACGTTGGAGTTGGGAGTTGGAAGTTGGCGTCGACGAGCCTCCGCAGTCACATGATGGGGTGGAAGGATTCGCCAGTAAAGGGGAAGAAGAAGCGGGAGGGGGAGGGGCCAACGGTTTTCACTGAGGTGGTTAAAGACGTGTTGATTTTTTTATTTTCTTGGTTTTTACGAAAGTCGCTTTTTTGCTATCGTTTTAATTGGCTATCGGCTTACTGGCTGGCTTATCGTCATTGCATGAGTTGTCGTACAGTCGCCGTACCACAATACTGAATTTTGAAGCTGGGTAGATGGGGGTGGGGGTGGGCTATGCGTGCGAGGTAGATAGTGAGAAGAGTAGTGAGAAGAGGCACTTGTGGGAAAAATGCTTTTGACAAACATACATGCATACATACATGCATGGTATGTGTGAAAATGAAAAATAAAAGGCTGCTGAAAGGAGCTGCTGCTGGACTATGAGCCGGTGCTTGAGGATGCCGTCCACTGCCCTACCCAGCGAACTGTTGGAAGGGCAGCTGTCGGGCAGTTGGTGGCCGGGAGGAGAGGGTCAGGGCGGGCGGGCAGGCAGGCAGGCGGGCAGGCGGCGAGCGAGCGATAGTGCGCGCCAAGGTGCGGCAAGGACTGTGAGAGGCAAAGCGCACGGGGAAGGGGGAATCTGTGATGGACTGTTGCTTGACTGCTCCCGAACCGGCTTCCCTGTACCGGTAATTGGCTTGTCAACTCGAGGTAATCCATCACCCTGTCCCGTGCCCTCCCAAAGCCGCCGAGAGCCCTGGCGGCATTATTCCGCGCAGTGGAGGTCTTGGTGTTGGATGGCTAGCAGCAGGTTGAGGTAGCTCCGTCCTCTCTGTGACCTTACCTGTATGTGTGTATACTCCTTAGGGCCCCTTTCCTGGGCTGAGCTTATTAGGATCCTCCCTCCTTAGAAGTGGGGAGTCAAGGGGAGTGCCTCCCTGGGTGCTTTGTGGTGCCCCCAGCAGGCCGCGGTACGGTCTTCACCTTGGCTTGGTGCCTCGTACAGAACCGTGCGCACATACGCCAGTGTTTGGGAGCGGAGTGTTTGGACTGCATGGTCGGGTCCGCTGCATCACATGTAATACGTGTTATCCAGATATGTAGGTATATAACCCCGGCCCCAGTGGACCGATGTGCCTATAGGTTGTCTCAGAGCGTGTGTCCCAGATTAGGTGCTAGCTTTTTGGCGCTGTCTGGGCCGTGATAGGGAAATCGCCTTGGTGCTCCTTCGAACCGTTTCTGGCCTGTAATAAGGCAATATTCGAGTTATGCGGGCAGCGCTACAGATGATCCGGCCGGATGCGGCACTGTAACAATATTTTGCTACTGTTTGCATAGTACACGCATCCACTTTTGGTAGCGGCATGCGAGCTCATGTATGATTGGCGAGTTAAGATTGATTTCATATGAGTATCTTCGACTTCTCTTCTTTGCAACATCTCTCATTGCTGCAGGCCAGAAAGCGTCCCAGCCGCTTCCTGAAGTTTACGCATTTCGTTTGCTGCTGTTTTAGGTCGTGTGCTGGACCGCGCGTGAGCAAGCACGATGCATCGCGCGAACAGAGCTCTGCCGAAATGAATAGGAGCAACTGCAGCAGAACATTGGCCGGGTGATCGGCTTTTTTGTTCGAACGCAAATACGTAGAAGCGTTAATCATCTGACAGAAAGCGATCATGGAATGCATTAACGTGTAAACCTGCAAGCGCTAAATTAAGATGCGTCATGGTTTATTTATAAAGCAGTTCTTACAGCGGAGCCAGAACGGCTTACTCATGTGGCGTGCGCGCTGACGTGGCGGTGACGCGAGAGACCACCATGCACAGCGAGAGGTGACTCAGCAAAACCATCGAGCAGCCAGTCTTATATATGGGTTACCCTGGTTACGTAAAGTTAGGCTGGTCTTTGGAAGCAACGCGTATAATTAACTTATTACGTGAATTTTTAGATAAGACTCTTTAAAACTATAATTAAACACAATTTTGGTTCTATGATACAGTCTGGAGTCTTTCACCGTTACCGGGACCCGTTGTCCAAAGGCGGATAACTCGTAGCGGCGGAAATTTCCAACGATAGCGAGTCGAGGTGAAAGCCATGCCGTATTAGTCAGGGCTAAACCGGAACTGAACCAAACTGAATCGAGTCGCACACGGTCAAGAGATCGCACTAGACCTCGCACGTCCTGGAATAAAAGCGTGTGTTGCAGCGCTGCTGGGGGACGGGCCTGTGAACGCGTGAAGTTACCTCACCGCCTGCACCACCAGCCACTCGCTTATAGCACTACGTATCACCCACATTCTTCCCCCACCTCTACGGCCGGGGCCAGGGAGCCAGGGGTAACGGGGCCCCAGGATAGGGGCCTCGCTGTGGTCCGAGCTTGCCTCGGTAGACCTCGGGTTTCCTCCAGAATGGCCGCTTGCGTGATGAGCAACGAGTGCTAGGAACGCGCGGGTGGGGACGCCGAACCGCGGGTTAGAGAGGCGGCTGCAAGGCCTCAAGATCGTTGGATGTCGGGATTGTCAGCTGTGAAGGAGAATCAGAAGTTCACCTATATTGTAAAGGCGGAAGGTTAAGGAGCTACGGACTGCCACTGGGATGGCGAGGGCGGTGCCGCACGTTTCCAGCAGCATAAACGAGCTCCGAAAACAAAACGTAAAATGGGATTGCAATGGCTTATGCACTAGATGCGCATGAGCTGAGGTACATGCAGACACCAATCCTTGAAGTGTAGGGGTTTCCAAAGCGGGGAATAGAACTGCCTTAAACGTTTTCCTTCAATAACTTTTAACCCCCAGCTCCCACACCACCCTTATGGGATGCATCTGGTCGCTATTCACAGCCAGAGTTGCTATGGTCTCATGTAATGCCTAATGCAGGTTTCCATGGGAGGTTTTGGCGACAGGCGTCATGTCTTGTCAGGAGTGTGACTTCAGTACAACTACCCCAGACAGTTGAGTAGCTGCACCTCGCTACTTCCTTCTCGTATAATGAAAGACGAAACCATATAACCCAGAGATGCATTATTAGATAACCGTGAACAATGCACCCGACTACTGGTATGAGTAACAGGGTCACACAGTTGCATTTGCGGGCCAAGACAATAGCACTGCTAAGCACTACGCAGACATCGTACACAATAAGCGACATCAATATATTGATAGCGCACGAGCTTACCTGGCTGGGCAGATCGGCCTGGGAAAGCGGCTGGAACACGTAGCGGTCGTACGGCAAATTTGCTGTTGCTTTGGATAAACCATCACGAACTGACCTTCATTTCTATACCTCACCTTTGTTTGCTTCCTATTGCAAACATAGTTCCTCCTTTCTTCATCTGATACGCTTCTTACTCCCATCTCAGAACCACCTTCCCCTCCACCGCTTTTTTTGGAATGCATTAGCATCTCTTTCCTTTCCTGTCTACTGGATCTCGATTTGCACTGTTGCATTGAAGTATTACTCCTGGCATCGGAGTCAACGCAAGTACCGTGCACAACGGGAAGTCATAAGCAGGTACGTAGCGCACAGGGGAGGGACCTATGCGACCAAGCTGGTCTGAGGGATCCTTTGACTTGTCTTTCACGTTTGCGTTAGTATATTTCTATATATTTAGCACATTCTGTGTTTTGTGCTGACAAGTTTGTAGAGCGCTACGCGTAATGGGGCTCTGTCGTTGCTCAATTGCGGTCTAGAAAGTAGACGGGCGCAACCTATATGAGGATGCACTAAACCCAGTTTTGGGTGTGAACGGCGTGACGCTGCTGCATCAGCAGCCGCCGTACTTGGACTTTAGCGCCTTTTTAGAGACGTGGACAGCGCGCGCTCCAACTGACTTTGGGTGGTATCATATCCCAATGCAGGTTGTCTCAGGTAGCTCTGTAAATTGAGCCGCCTGTTCTCCTTATGGCAAACGTAAAAGTCACAACGCCTACGGGCTGTGACGATGCTGAGGTCTTTGTATCGGCGTCAGAGGACGAGGCCGCGGCGCAGCCTGAGGGTGAGGCCGTGCAGCAGGTGATCACGCCTGAGCTTCTTTCCGCCCTTGTAAAGCAGGTAAGAAACCGTCCTGCGGCGTCCTGCCGGCTGTATGAAGGACAAAGTTGTTTAGCGTTTTTTGTCCGTCGCATTCCAGGTGGAGTTTTACTTTTCAGATGCAAATTTACCTACCGACAAGAAGCTTTTGAAGCAGATCCGCAAGGATCCCGAGGGCTACGGTAAGCGCAGCCTAGATAGTCAATGCGCGCCTTCTGTTGACCACAAGGTTGTATGTCCAAGTTTTCTTGATGATGGTTATCCCAGACGTCTCCCTCAGTTATGTGTTCTACTTTTTCTTCTTCGTTCCCTCTTCCGACTTGCCGTCTTTCCGCCCTCGGGACCATCCCCCTGCAGTTCCTGTGAAACTCTTTGCAAACTTCCGCAAAGTAAGGGCTCTTTCGAAAGATGTTGGCATCATTACCGAGGCCCTGCGGAGCGCCTCACTGCTGCAGCTGTCACAGGATGGCAAGCGCGTCCGGCGTATAGTGCCAGTGCCTGAGTATGACATCTCTGACATCCAGCGTCGGACCATTGTTGTTGAGAACCTGCCTGGAAATCCGAGCCCCACCATCGAGAGTGTCACTGACATGTTCCGCGTCTATGGGCGCGTGAAGCTGGTTCGTATTTGCAGCCGCGAGTCGAAGGGCAAGCTTCCAAGCTGGCTGACGGTAGGTTTCAAGGGCCGTCTAGACTATACCAACTGACTGGGGGTTCCCGGTCGAATTTCAGAAGCTTTCCGAGCTGACAGCGTGCAAGCACTAGGCAGGTGATGAGGTTTGCATCAGCGCATAGTTGAGCCCCTCCTGGCGCTTATTTGTGCTACGACTTTGTTTTGGGAACTGCGCACCTTGCTCAGACGCTCTGCTGTATTCCTTCTTACTATAATTTCCACGCCACAGAGCTCGTGCCAAAACATGGGCGGCACCCAGCATGCTTACGTGGAGTTTGAGGACGAGGAGGGAGCTATCCTTGCGTCCGCCGCTCTAGCGCAGGACTCTGATGCGCCTGACGGCGTTGTTCAGGTCCGACGGCTGTTGGCTTGCATCGCTGAGCAGCGTGAGCGCCGCAGCGTGACTGGCACTGGCAGTAGTTTTGGAGGTAGCAGTGGTGGTGGTAGCCGGAAGGGCAGCCGCGACGTTTCTCCTTTGGGTAGCCGGAGCGCTGTTAGCCGTCGTGGCAGCGGTGGCGGCGGCCCATTTGTTGGCAGCGGTTACTCGTGCGGTGGCAGCACTTGGACGTCATCATCTACCGGCGGCGCAGTGATGGACGCTTACCAACCGTCATTTCCTCAGTACCGTTCGTATGGAGGAGCCTTCGATCATGGTGTTAGTCGCTCCGCCAGCGGTGGTGGTGCAGGCCAATCGCCACCATTATCATTCATGCCACCGCCGCCGCCACCGCCGCCGCGCCGCAGCTGTGACAGCGCCCCCCCCTCGGAGCTCCTGCAGGTCACCGCCGCTGCCGCTGCACAGACGCCCACGCCAGGTCCGCCAGTCAGCGGCCGCTCAGTGAACGTGTACCGCCCACCAGCCAAGCGACTCTCCGACGGCTATCAATGTGGGTTCCAGCCATTGCAGTCGGGTAACATGTACTCTGCTGGTGCCGCTCCACAGCTGCAGCGCTGCACGGGAGGTAACTTCGTCGGCAGCTTTGGAACAGGCAACACAGCGCTAGCCAGCGCGGGCAATACACCCACTGCAGCACCGTCGTCTCCAGGGTCGAACAGCTACATAAACATGGTCGCCAGCTCACCGCCGCTTGCTTCTCGCAGCGCATCTTCTGGTGGTGGCCGACCGCCAGTTCATCCGGCTGCGGTGCCGCCTCCGCCTCCTCCGCCACCACCACCCCCGCCGCCAAAGTCGCAGCAGAACGTAGCCGAGATTCATTGTAGCATCCCATCCACGCCTCAGAACCACACACAAGGGCCGGTGGTCGCTCCTGCCGCTACCGCTGCCATATCACTGCCCAACAGCTCTCTGGCTGAAGCCATTGCGCAAGTGCAGGCAGAGCGCCGCGCGTCGGAGGCCGGTAGCTCCAAGGTGACGTCTGCTACTGCCACATCGGTTGAAGCTGCACCTGCTCCAATCATAGCGCCCGTAACATCTGCACCGTTGGTGGCTCCGAGGACCGCCTTTACCGCGCCGAAGTTCTGTTTGGACCTATCTACCGCGGCGCCGAACCGCGGGACGCGTGGTACTGCACCTCAGGACCCGGCTGCTTTGGCCGGCGTTGATGGAGTCACAAAGGATGCGCCTGCACAATTGCCGCGTGGCTCTCAGACACAGATGGTAGCGAACGTAGAGGACTTCATCAACAACATCCTTGCTGGTCGCCCAAAACTCCGACCGGTACCGGCGCAGTCGAGCAGCACGGTGCCCAGCGGCGGTGCCCAGCCGCGCAAGGCTTCTGGTGCTTCTGCTTCCGCTACACCGCGTGCTGTTGTTCAGCCGTCACCGCAGCAGTCCCAACAGCAGCAGCCGGCCGTGGATGCTGCAGTTGCAGTTGCGGGTATAATTGCCAGTACATTCCGCCGCCCCAATGCCGTCACCACGTCGACCACAGTAAGCGTTGCCCCTCCAGCCGCATGCAATCAGACCTCTGCTAAAGTAACCACTGACACTATGGAGCAAGGAGCTGTCGCCTTTGATAACCGCGCCGTTGCTGAGGCGCCCACCGTCCCAGCATCCTATCCCGAAGTGTTTCTGACAGCGGTTTCTACTGTCGATGAGCCTGCTAGCTTGGACTTTTCCCTGGAGCACGCAGTCACCGTGACTGTCCATCGTGCGCCAGCGACAGGATTGTCAGCGCATGCAGCAGCAAGTACCGATTGCTGCAGTAAGACCAAGCCTGTTCCAGAGTTAGTTACGCGGGAGGTCGCATCGGTCGCTCCCCACGTGGTTTCCGCGCGGGGTTTGGGGGCGCCGGTGGCAGTGGTAGCATGCGGTAGCAACGGTGGTATCAGCACCATGACTAGCAGCCCGCCGTCATCGCCCATGCCCGTGTCGTCGAGGGCCGCTTCTTCCAAGGGCAGCAACGGCAAGGCTTCTGCTCCGAACGGCAATACGAGTGGCCAGATGGCCCCTGTCCGTGCCAATGGTGCCACACAGCCAGGCACAAAGCGCCTCAGCCGCCGCGACTATGCGCAATGGGCTGCAGCAACTCCGGAGTTCCGTGCGGAGGCTGCGTCCAAGTATACGGGTTCGAACACTTCTGGTAGCCCAACTTCTGTCACCGGCAGCTACGGTCGCAGTAGCGGCGGCGGCGCCGGGATGGTTGGCGGCTGTGGCCCGGCTTCCCCACCGACAATGGCCTCCCTTTCAATTTCGGATGGTGGCGTATTCGGGACTGCACTCCCCTCGGGCCCAAGTAGCGGTGGCCATTACCGCTCAATGAGCACTACGGCAATCTGGCATGTGGCGAAGGGTCCCGACGGGTCCAAAGGCTTTGCGGGCCGTGGCCGCATCGTAACGGCATAGTGGCATTCGATGTTGCTGTGACGTGTATTAACCTGGGTGTGGATTGGTCGTGTTTTAGTATATTCGGCTGTTGTGGGAAGAAACTTAGCGAAAATAGTTGTCAGCGTTTCACACCCGACTAAGGTACTGGGTTTTGCTAGCCTAACGCTGTAGACTGAGGGTGGGTTTAAGTGTAGTAATGCGAAACCTTTCTGTCCCCTACCTAACTCGGTTTCTGTTGTTCGGGACCTCTGAGCTTCTGACCTTCACGCCGGCTGGTTGCTACAGCTTTAACGCGCCTGCTGCAACATTCAGGCAAAGCGCTATGGAAGGCTTTGGCGAAGTAGATGCATGGGGGAAAGAATGACGGTATAGGCCTTCGAATGGGATACTTGAGCGGCATGCTCGATTGTGCCATGCTAGTCAATCAGGCCCATGCGAGGCTGCTGTGATCTAGTGTATCTAATGGTAATTTCTTGCGCGTTTAGTCCGTCATGAGCCGTTCTTTTGTGGCATGCAAGCTTGAGGGTTGCAAGGCCATATCGACACATGTCGGGTAACTGAGGGCGCGTGTGAATAGTGGTATCTGTGTGTTTTGCTGCTCCATAACTGGAGCCGAAAAGTATAGCATCCTTTGATGTGAGACACCGTGTTTACCCACAGCGCATCGTACTAGGCGTATGCGCGTGCAGGTGTAGGGTACCTCCCAAAAGATGTCCCTTCAGGTCTTTTCACCAGCACGGATTTGGTGATGTTTTAGGTGACAACGACATTGGCAGTGGATCCGAGTTGGGCTGCTGCCGCTTTTCATTCTAGTTTTGCACGTCGCACGGGTCTGATTTGATGCGCTTGCGCCCGAGGTGGGTGAGAAGAGGCGTTTCCGCATGTTAAGGTGATGGTGGCGAGTGTGGGAAGCGTGGGATGCGCGCAACTTGTGAATGACAAGGGCACTGCGCTGTGAATGGGCTTGAATGCTGTGCGCCGCTCCGTCTGGTTGGCTTGCAAGTGCCAACAAGCGTTTTCGTACCTTGTCATCTGTGGATTGCTGTAGAAGGGTTACCGATGGCGCGCCGCTGGGGTTGCCATGTGTATGTGTGTCTCTGGCTTCTCCCGGCCGTTGTGGCTGATGTCCGCGCGCCGCGTTGTGGCTGGAAGGAGAGGGGCTCGCGTTTGGGGTACGATTGGCTGTGTGGCATCATCCGCATCGACCTTTTTCTTGTTTATTCTTTTGCCCCCTTTTTAGCTTTGTTCATCTACATCCCCATTAATTCTTAGGGCCGCTTATTGATTATTAACTGACTTGGAATTAGCAACCTGCGGTTTACAAACCGCGTAGGTTACTCAAAACTAGCAACTCTTCCCTACCTTAGCTCGTATGTTGATGTGGACAAAGGGGCGGATGAAATATAGTGATAGGCTCCATCGCTGTTTATGCCCATGTAATTTCAGATCTAGAACGTGCTAGGTGCCCGCATACCGGTAAAGACTTGTAACCATAACCGAAATGCTGCGAGCCATGTTGCATAAATGCCTACCCGATTATCCTATCCATGGTCCGTTGTGCCCACCTTAGGAAACCGAGGTCGATTGTATGGATGCAACAATATCCTGTGTCGAAATTTGGACCCTCGTCGCTTATCGGGTTAACAGGTCTGGCTTTACTAGGATGTGCGCCCTCATATATGCCTTAATAACCCCATCCGGTAACTCCGGTGGGAAAACCTCGTGGGCTTGGGTGTTAGCACACGTCCATCTCGCATCGAGCCGCTTGAGAACTCTTATCGATTGGCGTTAGAGCCCCTGTATCCACGTCTGGTCTAGCAATGCCGGGAGTACACTCAAAACGAAAACCATTACATTCTCCAGGCATGCTTCACAGTAGAGACTTACAGCATAATCGTAGGCGGTAGGCTTGATACTAATATTGTTGATAAGGTGCAGCTGCATCACGTTTTATTTCTATTACTACGGGTGTTTCTTCAAGCAAAAACAAGGAAGCAGTTTAATTTGTACCATGGCTTTGGCAGGATCGCAAGCCGCCGGCAGTCACTGCGGGATTGCGCCGACAGTCCACAGTGGAGGGGTAACCGAAAAGCGACCGCAACGAGAGCATATGATTTGATATGTTTTTTCCATGGGTTGTATGGCAGAAGTTATGGGCTCCTTATGTTGGCTGAATGACCCATCCGTGGATTAGTGGGGTTTCAGCCACCCTTGCAACGTTGTAACTGCTCGTCGGAATTCAATAATACGAGCATGGGCCTTAGTTTATCTGAACATTAGAGGTTATAATAACTAAAGACCCATTCCGTGAGCTTTCTGGATGGCACGGGGCGTGGGCGGCGGACATCCGCGAAGGATTGCTCAGGCGGATCCTGGCGACAATCCTGCTTGAGATGTTGGCGCGCCTGCAGCTGGTTGTGGGTCACGCTCGCAGCCAGTCGCCCGGTGGCTTAAAGGCTGTGGCGCAGCGTGGCACTACATTCTGCGGCGAGGCAACCATCTTTGGGGAGTTTGATTCGAGCCCCACGCTGTATTGCCCAAACGCCCGTATTAGGATCTCACAGCTCCGTGCTAGGTAGTAGCGCCTCTTACAAATTATCGCTCTCCGGGCATTCAGCAGAAAGAACGTCGTAATCGGACTCAAAAGCGTACATGTACGTTGCCACCCTCGTTCTTGGCGCGGCCTGACCCCAGGGCGGTTCTCTTCCAGAGGTCCGGCCCCTAATCCTAAAAATGTGGCAGGGTAGTGGCTGCCCTGGGTAGGTAAATGTAAGCACAGGTGTCGGGCCACCCGGCTGGCCCTGAGACATGAAGCCTCCCTGGAGGGACCAACCACCTTCTACCCCAGGGCGCATCTCGCAAATCCAATACAACAGCCTTTATCTCTTAAACACCAGTAATTTGCTAGGCTTGACGAACGAGAAGAAATTGACCCAAACAAAGTCGCGTTTGTCATGTCAACGGCCTCG